TTGATGAAAGTAAAAATATACTAAATAAATATGAATAGGGCCTATATGGTTTAGCTAATGCTAATGGCTTCCTTGAATTGCTCAGCAGTAGGCAAATTCAATAAAAAATGAAGAGGAAGTTGCAACCCTATCTGAATGAAAATGTTCTTTGAAAATAACAGCTGTAGGCCTATTTGTAAACTGTCAGTTGTTGCAGTGAAAGCCGAGGGAAGCGTTTGTGCTATTGCCGTGTTTTTTTGTACTTTCTTTATTTAATTCTGTAGAACATTGTAAGGCCTACCAGTAAACACGTTTGTTTGTTGAGCGATCTTCCGCACGGAATAATAGTAAACACATTCATTCATTCTTTTAAACCATTTAAGCCCAAGGACACTGTGACAATCATGACAGCCTCCGAGATTTCTATTGTTGTGTATAACGAAAATTGTATTAGCGCCCTCTAGCATTCCCATGTTGCAAGAGCTGTCACTTATTCTAGCATTACACAACCAGAGTGTACGTTTTTCGATTTCAGGTAATCATTTTTGAAAACAACTTTGGCTGGCCTGGACCATGTTCACGTAACCATTAAAGCAACTGTACCAATAAAACCGAAGTGTGTTCCCTCATGAGAAGTACAAATTTCAATTTATTTAATACTCGGTTTTTGCACTGATTTATTAAATATTTTTGGGACGTATTTCAATTTATTTACTTGTTCTTTCTATCGTTTTAATTTAAATTTTGTGAGTATTTGCTCAGTCAGCTTACCAGATAGTAAAAAAAAAACTCCATACATTCTTATAATTTATTATATATAAGTTTAACAAATAGTACAAAAATAAAAATAAAAAATAAAATAAAAAAAACTCCATACATTCTTATCATTTATTATATAAAATGATATATAATAAATATAATTTAATTAAATAAGTTAACTTATTCGTTATTTGTACTATTTTGTTAATTGAAATACGCCGCAAACCAAACGTAAAAAATAATCAAGTTATTACATTTTTAATACGATTTTGCATGACTATAAACAATAAATTTAAATGTGTTAGGCCTATGTTATTATACAGTATTTACTATGGTTTTATAATTTATATATTTTTATTTTTGTACTATTTGTTAAACTTATATATAATAAATAAATTAATTAAATAATTTAACAAAATAGTACAAATAACGAATAAGTTAATTGAAATACGCCGCAAACCAAACGTAAATAAACACATTTTTAATACGATTTTGCAATTATACAAATTCATTTATTTTTATAAAAATGTAGTACATAAAATTACATTTTTAATACGATTTTGCAATTATACAACTTCATATATTTTTATAAAAATGTAGTACATAAAAATATCAAAATTCTAATTTTCAATTACACAATTATACATCACGAACGGCAATACGAGCAAATTAACGACTGACAAGACTGTGGGATGAATATGTAGCTGGTATCCGGGGGGTTCATTCACTGATGACATCGGCAAGCCGACTACATTCACTGAGAAACGCACTACATTCACTGAGAGACGCGCTTGGCGTTCCATAGAAATTACCGGCGGCTCAACTTGTCGGCGGCTCAACCGGTCATATCCCCCTTTCAGGCCCCCTTTTGGACATCTCTGGATCCGCCCCTGTTTCCAGCAATGACTCACACAGGCCAAACAACAGCTGATTTGCATAAGATAATGCCAATGATCTCTGTTAACACTGCTGCGATGTGGAGGTAACAATATAGATCATCGCGGTTACTAATCTGTTAAGCAGAGTTGCTAACTCAGTTTACATGGCCACTTAACACCTATATAAATGGATAAATGCGATCATCACGGTGATCTCCTGCCATGTAAACAAGGCTTTAGTAATTGTACATGTTAATTAATGTTTGTCATAGTAATCAGATACCTGCGAGCTCACCCTTTAATCATTTATTGTCTATTATTGATCTAGTAGGTTGCTCATAGTATAAGAATTGAAATCGATAGTGTATGCAAAATACTAACGTTCTAATCAAATGCGTAGAGCATGCAACCAGTTCTAATTGATACTCCACACAGTGGAGAGAAATCAATTCGTAAAAGAGAGTGCTTACTACTGAGACATTTAATTTGGTGTCAACACAATACAATATACAACTCTTATTGGATAACACTTTAGGGTAATTCCATCTTAAATCAACCAAAAAAAGTCATCAATCTCAGATTTTGTTAAAAATTTTAGAGAAATCAATTTATAAAAGAGAGTGCTTACTGCTGAGCCATTTAATTTGGTGTCAATACAATACAATAGACAGGTTTCACACGCGAATGCCTAAATTTATTCATGCATTTAGTTATCCGTAACAGTTCGTAGTTATTCTGTGTTTTTTGCAATCAAAGTGCAATTCAAGTGTAGCTTAGGCCTAGGGCCTTAGCTTAGGCCTACTATAGGCCCATAGCCAGGTTCTTCTAAGGAGGGGTATTCTGGGGGTGAGGTCCACAGTCGAAGCCCCGGTGGGGTTGGCGAAAACCCCAAAGCAAGAGGATTTTTGTGCTTTATGGGTCTAAATAATGCTATAAAAGCAGATATGTTTGAAAACGTCTGTGTCTGGGTGGGTCTGCAGTGCATTAGTTGGGTTGGAGGACTTATATGGGAATTTTGAAGAGGGGGGTTAGCCAAAAAAGAGGGGGGTTTGCTAGAAAAGGGGGTTCTCCCGAACAATAAAACCTTCCCTGGATATGGGCCCGTACTATACTCTGTTGTCTTCTCTCATCATGCTTCTCAAAGTTTTATTAGTATGTATATGTAAAGTTTAGGAAATTCGAATTGAAAATTGTAGCCAAAAAATACTTCTTTGTTGCCCAGAAATGGATTTTGAGATAGGCCATATTGTTTACGATCCAAAGTGCCTGGCTACAAGTAGGCCTAGACCTACACAAAATCCCGATACCTCCAAGGTCAAAGCACCAACGTTCTGATACCCGAAAATGAGACGCATCCTATCGTAATTTGCTGTCTCCAAATGTCACAAAAATGGCACGTACGTGTTCAAAGAGACATTTTTTTTTTACACTTATGTAAAATGTGAAAAAATAAACGAAGATCCTATTAGAAATCCAAAATTTCTCCAACGCGTTTTTCACTTAGGTATAATGAGCGAGATATGCGTGTCGTCCATACGTTTAGCGGATAGCAACCAGCGTATGACGCCGAGATGATGACTTATCTGTCACGCTAACCGTATGCGTTCGCGTGCGAAACCTTCCTAAAATACAACACTTATTGGATAACACTTATGTAATAGCAGTACACATTAGAGAACACCTAACACTAACAGTGCATCCAAAGATAAACAAAATATATTTAATCAAAAAGCAACAAAAATGTAAAATGTAAGTTTTAACTAATCTAAATTATTGTAATTAAACCACCCATATTGATATTTCCTAAATCAACATACGAAAAGTAAATAAAAGATTCTATGAATGTTTTAAATTTTAAAGATGTTACAATTGATTGTATTGATTAAACCATCTTAAACTATAGGATAATATATATTATTAATTATCTGTGTAAGAAAATTTGCTTATTTGAGCAGTCCAGTTACTGAATAGCCATTGTGACCTCCCTCACTCTCAAATATAATTACCTACACGTCTTACCCTTTAGCAGTGAAATCAACTGGTAAAATTTATGAGTTGGTATAATTATAGGCAAAAATTAAAGTATCAAATAATTAAGAGTAAACAATTTATATAAGCAACCAAAAAAAAACCAATTTAGATTGCAGAATATTATAATGATCTTATAAACTTTCAATTTCAGCAACATACAGAATTATTATTAGAATGGTGCCATAAATTAAAACATCAGTAGTTCATCATTCACTAACATGTAATTTTGGAATATTGGCAATGCAGTGACACAACCACGCCTCCCAAATGATTGCTACTTAAGTTCTAACCCCTAGCATTTAATTCATAAAGACATGAAGGCTGGTTTCGCTTGTCGGTTTTCGTTCAGTTGACCAATCTCATTAGCTGCTGCTACAACACATTAATTGTAAGTATATGCTATAATTATTTTAATAAGTGCCTCCAAATAATTATGCTATTAGACCACTAGTATTTGCCAGTTCATTACCAATGGTAATAAATAAAACTGTAGGATTGTGTCAAATTTTATAACCTGTTTGTATAGTGACATGGTCTGAATTTGTTTCTCTTGACTTTTAGTAGAAATTTTAGCTATAAATCGGTATTATTTATCCTTATACACTACAAGCAAAACTTCGGAAACAGCCTAGAGTGGTTCAATACCTGGATTTCGTGTGGCGCTTTCCATGCCCGTTCCCATGTTTCCTATTTCACATATTCCAGTAGTTCAATAGGCCTATTATATGTTCTTCGTCATTGTATATAAATGTTTATAAAAAAATGCTTGTGTCTTAATTTTTTTATTTATTTATTTTAACATTGTATACATTGTATTTAAACCCTGTTTCTCAAAGTGTTTCACTACACACAAGGTAATTATACTCTCGATTAAGTGCCGCTGTGCTTATTGAAGATCAACGCTTAGCTAAAGAAAACGGTTTTGGTGCGGCGCTTATTCAAGAGCGGTGCTTATTCAAGCATTTACAGTACACATTTTTTTTTTGCATATTTTAATTTTATGAATGCACTATCACCAACTACACACATGTGCCTCCAGTGTAAAGGCATAGTGTCTGAAAATGTAATTGTATTCTATTTCTAATCAAAATGGTTTCTTTGTGAAAATCCAGACGAAGAAGAAAATAAAAATAAAATGTTATTTGTGAATGTAAAATAGGATGGTTAAATGCTTCAAATTTATATAATTAGGAAGAAATATAATTATTTTATCTTCAGAGATTTCAAGGCAGCGGGGGGCATAATAAAAATAAAGAACTTTAATTTCTTTCTAAAATTTCTACTATTTCGTGGATTTCTAATATTTGCAGTCGGCGGGTTTGCTAAACAAGTTATAAAAAAGTCTTGCCTTACTTGTAAGCGATGTTGCACTTGTACACTGGAAGCTTTTACAAGCCGGTATGTTAGCTAATGATGTATTATTCTGTTGCATCTTCAGCCATCAAGTGTTTATTATCTACAAAAAACACAAAAACAGATCAATACCATTCAATATTTATACCACATAAAGATCAAGTGTACATGTTAACCATTTAATAACATTGCCATTAGCATCATATGATAGCTACAGTAGTGTTACACCTGCTAATAGAGTAATGATGTCGCATACTTGAATCCAGGCATTTGATATATGAACCGAAAGATTGAGTTATCAGTTTCTCTGTCAAGTATCATTTCATTGACTGCGCTGACAGATGGCACTTTTTAACTTACAAAATCTTAATACTATAAGAGAGGTATTATTTGTTGAGTTATTGCAGGTAATATTTACATAATTATTACACAACAATTGCGTGGAGCAATTCTAATATCTTAATATCACTACCATTTTATTGATAACAGGTAGTCCGAGAATGCTTCCTGATTATTACTTGTAGTATTAATATTATTGTTTAGATTAACACGGCATAAAACTGCTTTTATTGCTACTATTAGTGAGATTCATGTCAGTGTTAAGTCTCCGATTTTACATTCAGGCATGTGTCTGAAACGAAAGGTCAGGTATAAGTAACTGCTCTAATTACAGTTAATAACTCACAATTGTTGAAATTAATTGACTGTTCCTTCCAAGATAACTTCTACCCAAAATTACTGCTATTAAAACAATAAAAATTACCCATATAGTCATGATTTGCCTATATAGGTCCTGATGTGATGTCATCATGACAGCTTTGGAACATTTTACATTATGTGTGCCTACATTTCCAAAATACATTAAATTGTGATATTTTGAAATGTTATTGTGGAGATTGTACCATGCAGTACCACTCGCCGCTATTACACAATGAGATGCAGTTGACAATACAATGTACACCCACACCTATATTCTTATTCTTTATTGTAATCAAAACATGTGGAGACTGTGTTGCTAAAAGCTAAAATGCCACAGAATAAATATAGGTTGTAGATATTGTCAGAATATTAAAATAGATTGATTTTATAACTGATACTTATAGGTGCAATACTGATTAAAATTGTTCTTTACTGTTGAGGAATTGATCAAATTTGAGAATAAATTCTGCAATCATGATTTTCTACCTATTTCTCTACAAAATTAATTTAGAAACATTACATATAGCTTTTTTTTTAATAGTTCAAGCTATTATTGATAGTTTTAAAACACGGCCATGCTAAGGCAAGACTTTTTTTATACCTTGTTTGCAAAATTTGTTGAATCGTCAGCAGAAAGCAGAAAAAATGTGGCAAAGACAATACAAACCAGTCATTGAGTTTTAGTTATCAATACAGGGATAAAACAGAGAAAGGTGCAATATTGGTCATTTTAGGGTTTGTTTCTGATATTTCTTGAGTTAAGACATAGCTATTTTTAAAATATTTTTACAAAAAACCAAGCTATGTTTATGATATTGATGCTATATTTGATAGTTTCTTCTTTTTTAGTTTCTTAGCAGGTTCTTTCTTTCTTTCTTTCTTTCTTTCTGGCAACATTTTAAAAGGCTACTAGTGGCAAACTACTGGACCGATTTAATTAAAACTTGGTCAGTAGGACCGGTGCCACCTCCCATTTATGTGTTGTTCACAACTTGGGGTCAAAGGTCACATAAGGGGCATTAGGGTCAAAAAACAAAAAATCGTATAAAAGACTACTTGTCTCACAAATACGTAGCACAGTCTTGTCCTTTGCACATATACATTGGCATAAGGCAGGGTCTATAGGGTGTTCAGGGATAAGGGGTCAAAGGTCATTAAGGGGTAATTTTTATCTTTTTCTGGCAACATTTCAAAATGCTACTAGTGCCAAATGGTTGTGCCAATTTCAACCAAACCTGGTCAGTATAATCGGTGACACCTTTCATACATGGGGTGTTCACAGCTTGGGGTCAAAGGTCACATAGGGGTCATTAGGGTAAGAAACTTTCAAAAAAATGAATAAAAGACTTCTTGTGTCACAAATATCATAGCACAGTCTTGTCCTGGGCACATATGTATTGGCATAATGTAGGGTCTTATGGTGTTCAGCGATTTACTGTCAAAGGTCATTAAATGGTTATTCTTTTGTTCTCTCTAGTAACATTGCAAAATGCTACTAATGGCAAACCATTGGACCAAATTCAATCATATTTCGTCATTAAGAACCGGCGACACCTCCTACACCCCAGTCTGGGATCAGGGGTCGCATAGGGGTCATCGGGGTTAAATTTTCAAAATAGCCCAATTGAGCTCAAATTTACCAGGAATGATTCTTAGGACCTTCTAAACATGAAAAAATACTCTTCACCCCATATGTCAAAGTTCATAGGTCAAAGGTTCAAAATGTTACTAACATTACAACAATATTTCGTGTCTAAATTCGATAAAAAGGCAGTAAAGGTCGCCAAAAACCACTAAATTTGGTCATTTTTCAACTTCTTTTTGTAATAACTTCGCAAATACTTTATCGATTTTTTTTGGGAAAAGATAAAACTGAACGGAATTTAATATTCATTACAACAATTACAAATTTATAAGTGTAATGTTAACACCTTTATCGGACTTTTGATTTTTATCAAACCCACTCGTGTATTTTTTCAGCGTAAAAACAGTGAAATCTGCTGAAATACCCCAGCTGTCTTTAACATAAATCTCTCTACAGTTGAAAGTTGTGGGCCGATTTCTTTTGTGAAAAGTCCATTCGAAAGCCCCTTTTGTCTTCTAAATGTATTCTAAATATAAGATTGATCGGTTGAGCAGTTTTATCGGACCAATCAGATTTATGAAAATCATCCAAAACTCCTCACCATATGCTTAAGCATTACAAGCATATGGCAGTCTGACGCTCACGTGGATGCAGAGCTTGAAATATACTCTGGAAAAACAGATAAAATGACTAAATTATCCTTAGTTTTAAACACTAAAATTATGATCATTGGCAAAAGAATAGGATAGAGATTCAAATGATGTAAATCATATGCAGTAAAAACATATAGATTTTTAGTACCAGCAGTATATAAATGTCAGTTTTTGTAAAACACCCCATTTTTTCGAGCGGTTCACTGGTTTGAGATGGTCGATTCCATTTTCTTATGTGTACATGACTACGTACATGTGATTGGTGAAGACTGTAAAGCAGGGTAGAATATGTCTTCTTTTGAGGGTAAAAATAAAACTGTGAATGGTATTTAGATAATTATGTATGTTGTTTAGAATAAAAATTGAAAGTCCATATGAAAATGTTACGGCGTTTAATTTGTAGTTGTGGAACCCCCTAAATTACAAATGAACTGTTTCAAAGCCGTTACGCGCTTGACTGATCACCCACAGTGTACCGTTAGCCCATGAGAGGAAGCTACCTTGAGGTCGAATTCAGTTAATAAAATTGCACTGCTAGCAAAATATTGTCGTAATGTGGCAAACGATTGAACCGAATTCAATCAAATTTGATCATTAAAAACCAGTGACACCTCCTACACCCCTGTCTGGCATCAGTGGTTACATAGGGGTCATCAGGGTCAAATTTTCAAAATAGCCCAATTGAGCTCGAATTTACAAGGAATGTTCCTTAGGACCTTCTAAACATGAAAAACTACTCTTCACCGATAGGTCAAAAATCACAAGGGTCACTATAGTGAAAATTATCAAATATTGATAGTTACTAACAATTGGACCAATTGCATTAGACAGACTCCTACCAAACATGGGGTGTTCACAGGTTGAGGTTAAAAGTCACAGTGGTTATCTCTTAAAAAATGACTGGGTTCATGTTCTATTGAACATAGTATCTCTAGTAGTTTTTACTGTATAGTACTCTATGCTTTATAGCTGAATAGTTGTAAGTTTAGAAATATTACAGATAGCATTTTTTTTTTAAATAGTTCAGGCTATTATTGATAGTTTGCAAACTTTTTGAATCGTCAGTGGAGGGCAGAACAATTTACTGCTGGAAGAATGAGTTTGAAAGCTCACATTAGAAAGATAAAATTTGCAACGTAATTAACGCCCACCTACAACTTGTGGGCTTGTAACCATATGATTTGGCTTGTAAGGTAACAACAAGCACAAGATTATTTTGATAGGCATAAACCATGTGTGGGAAAATCCCTAAAAATTTCAATTTATAACTTTTCATTTCCTTTATATTCTTTTCTCTTCTTTCTTTTTTTTCTTTCCCTTTTGTTTTCTCTATTCATTCCTTATCATTTTTTATCTTTCTTCTCTTTTTCCTTTTCCCCTTTTCCCTTTCTTTTCATTTCTATTCATGTTCTTTCTTTTGTTTACCTTTCATTTTCTTTCCAATTCTGTTAATTTTATTTCATTTTGTTTCTTTCATGTTCTTTCTCTTACCTTTCTTTTCCTTTCCTTCCTTTCTTTTTCTCTCCTTTCTTTTCTTTTTAATCTTATCTTTTTTCTTTCTTACATTTCTTTTCCTTTCGTTGTCATTCTATTTTTCCTATCCATTTTTTAAATATTTTTTAGTTCATTTTCTTTCTTTTCATCTGATTTCATTGTTTTACTTTCTTTCATAGCCATAGTTTTCATTAGAATGCAAGTGTGTGGCGGAATCAAAATAAAGAATAGGAACATGATGTAATAATGGTATCAAGCATAGCTCATCAGCGATGATATTGAAGCAAAGAAACATGCATTTATATATTTCTTAGGGTGGAGGGTTTCCGGAATACAAGGATACTCAGACAAAGCTATTATATTAATGACGAAAGTCAAACCTCATGATATTTGATACCTTCTGGCAAGTGCCAAAGGTGGTTGAACTTTTTCTAGTACTGTACCAGGAAGGTGCTCATATATCACTAGAGTATAAGTAGCTGCTTACAATTTAACTAATAATACAGTAAAAATAATAATTATTATAATATTATATTATTATAATAATATATATATATATTATTATAATAATTATAATTTATGCATTTTCAAGATCAAATGTAGGTGACAGGAAGTAGGATTAAACAGTCACATGATGTTAATCATGTGATGGCAGAAATTATTGATCTTGAATTAGACTCTCAATTTCAACATACAACCATATAAGGAATGTTGCAATAAAATACCGGTAGCTCATATATATTGGAATAGTGCCAATGCACCTTAAAACCACGCCTCTCAAATGATGATACTTAAGTTCTAAAATCTGGCATTCAATTTATAATGAGGTGATAGCTTGACAGTTTCAGTTCAATTGGCCAGGCTCGTAATACAGCTACCACAACATATTAAAGGTATAGTATAAGTTGCGTGCAGGTAATTATTTTAATGATTGTCACCAAATAGGCTAATTGTATTAGACCACCAATAAAATAGGTAATAAATAATTTGTAGGCTGCATCAACATTGAAATTTTATGACCTGTTGTATAGTTTCATGGTCTCTCAAATTTGCGTAGATATTTCAGCTATAACCAGTGTCGGTATTATTTATCCTTATTAATTTATTTATCCTAGAAATATCTAGAATTGTTCAATACCTGGAGTTGCGGCTGTGGTAAACAGTAGAAAGGGTGATGTTCTAATTCAGACAGACAGTGTCAAATATTGTATTTTTTTGCAAGCATTTGATGATATCGATACAAAGAAGCATGAATGTATTTCTTCGGATGAATGGTTTCCGGAAAGCAAATATAGACATGCAATCAGCTCATGCATGAAAATTTAAAGAAAGCTTGTTAATGACAATGTCAAGATAGTTGATAGCTTTTAGGCAAGAGCCACAGGTGGTTGACCATTTTATAAAACAGCAATTTCATAAAAGCTTGAAACAAGTAAATTTGAGTTTGTGTCAAGTGTGATTGTGTTAGGGCACATTTCAAATTAATCTCTTAAATAGTTTAATACCAGGAAGGTGCTTATAATATTACTGAACGCAGACTGGCTATTTAGGTTATGTCAATATTTACAGCATTTAAAATTACTTCTTACAGTTATTACAACCAATTCCTTAATCAAGAACTACAGCCCAAGTCTCAGGAGGCAATAAGGTAAGTGTGCAGAAAATTTATTTTCAGGATTGCTGCCAATACTGTTAAAAAATCCGTTGGCACATTTAATTTCATTAGCTTTGACTACAATTTATGGAGATTCATTAGTCTTAACTTAGGAAGGAACTCATGGGCATAGCTGGTGGTGCGAGGGATGCGGTGCAAGGGATGCGGACGCACCCCAATGATGTCAGATTTATTCCACTAAGTCTGTAGAAATACAAAAAAAATGACCATTAAGTTTTCATTGGAATAGGGATTTAGTTCCGTATTTTAAATTCGCACACCCACCAGGCCATTTTTGCACTTCCAAGACCAAAGCCTATGGCCCTCAGTATGTACCACAGAGAAATGGGTACTGTACTAAGATCAATCCAAGTCTAAAATATTGTGTTGGTGTCTGTGGTAACCAGCGGACAACATTCGTGTCGTACCCTACATGTACTTTGTGGCGCTACCCTGACAATATCATGAAAGTTCTATAAATATCATGAAAGTTCTATAAATAGTTCTAGCGGAAATGCAAAGTTTATTGAGTCGCAGCTTGTACTAGTAGTCTTTGAGGCCTATATTATATTAACGATTCCTATTGTTTCTTGACCTAGTGGTCGTTCACCTTAAATTTTCATTGCATACCTTTTTAGTAGGCTAGTTAGTTATGGAGGTTTATACCTCCATGGTTAATTTAATTGTAATATGTACATATTCTTGAAATTTTTCAAAATGTTACCAGCTAAAAATGCTCTGAAAAGTGTGAAATGCTTATTTAGGTATTTTTGAATGTCTCAATGTGTATTTGCAGTGTTTTGTGATTGGTTTAGCATTCTTTGAATTTTGGTTAATAATGTCGCTTGATACTCATCACAGTGGGGAGTAATTAATTCATAAGAGAGTGCTTAATGCTGAGCCATTTAATTTGGTGTCGGTACAATATAATACAATATAAAACATTTATTGGATAACACTTTAGTAACATCAGCACACATTAGAGAGCATTCAAAGATAAACAAAATATATTTAATCAAAATAATTAGTTGCTTAGTTGAGCAGTCCAATTACTGAATAGCCATTGTGATCTCTTTCACGCTTAAATATAATTACATGTATTACATTACTCTTTAGCTGTGAAGTCAACTGTTAAAATTTAGGAGTTGGTATAATTATAGCCAAATGTATTATTAAGGCAAAAATTAAAGTATCAAGTACTTTAGGAATAAACAAGGAGTAACAAAAAAAATTAGATTGCAGAAAATTAATGATCTTATAGACTTTCAATTTCATCAACATACAGCCATATTTAGAATGATGCCATAATTGAATACCGGTGGTTGATCATTTTTGGAATAGTGCCAATACAAATGCAGTGACACAACCACGCCTCTTGAATGATTTGCTACTTAAGTTCTAAACCCTAGCATTCAATTCATAAAGAGATGAAGGCTTGAGTTGTCTGTTTCTGTTCAATTGACCAATCTCATTAACTGCTACTACAACACATTACTAGTAATTGTAAGTATATGCTATTGCAGGTAATTATTTTAATAAATGTCTCCAAATAAGTATGCTATTAGACCATTTGTATTTGCCAGTTCATCACCAATAAAAGAGGTAATAAGTAAAACCTGTAGGATTGTGTCAAATTTTATGACCTGTTAAGATGTATAGTGTCATGGTCTGAATTTGTCTTTCTCGTAATTATACCCTCGTTTAAGCGCCTCGGAACTTACTAGAGAGCAGTGCTTAGTTAAAAAAATATTTTAGGTTTGATGCAGTGCTTATTTGACAGCGGTGCTTATTCAAGCATTAACGGTACACATTTTTTTGCATACTTTGATTGAATGAATGCACTATCATACTTTGATTGAATGAATGCACTATCACTAACTACACACGTGTGCCGCCAATGTAAAGTTAGTGTCTAAAATGTAATTGTTTTCTATTGCTATCAAAATGGTTTCTTTGTGAAAATCCAATTCCAACTTACTTGTTAGCGACATTTTGCTCTTTCTCAAGCTGGTATATTAGCTAATGATGTATTCTATTGCATCTTCAGCCATCAAGGGTTTATTATCTACAAAAAACAAACAAAAAAACCCAATCCATTCAATATTTACATTGTATAAAGATCAAGTGTATGTGTTAACCATTTAATAACATTGCCATTGGCATCACTACAATAGTAACACACCTGCTGATAGAATAAAAATGATGTCACAAACAGTTACTGTATTTGATTTATATGAAGCAAAAGATTGAGTTGTTCTGTGCCAAGTATCATTTCATTGACTGTGCTCACTGCTGCACAGCTGGCACTTCTTAGTTCACAAGCTCCTAATACTATAGCTAGGTTCATATGGGATTATAGGTAGCTGATCTACTTGCCAAGTTAATTGGATTAAATCCACTAATAGCGTTCGACGTTAAGGTTTGAGCGAGATATTTTGACTACCAGAAATTCGGAAAACACATCATTAATTACTGTTGATTTTCGCGCGACTAGTTTATGCTAGATCAAGACTATAGGCGTAAGCTAGGCCTAGGTCTCGGCGGTTGATTAGACTGGCCGAGGAGTCCAGCTGGAGGGTTTACACTGGGTTTTCCCCCAAGTATTTCGTTTAGCGCGTGGTAGTGTGGGCATGCCGATTTCGGGTCATCCCTTATTACATTGGCCGACCCCTTGCCCGTCCCATGAATGAAAACGTCTCTCACAGCCTTGTGGTCTGCTCTTAGATTCTTCAACTTTGTCACAACAATTGCCGATGTTATGCTATTGTGGCCTAAGTCCCGCATTCTCTCTGCTATCCTTTCGTGGACACCAGCCTTCTGACGGTACAATTTATCTTCAACTTTTTCGGCGATTTCTGGCTACCTCCAGATATCTATTAAATCACATTCCTGCGCATACGTCCAGAGATGGCGTTTCTTTACTGACTTTTCGGCCATCATTTGCAAAATAAGACTTGTTGAAATTAAAGTACAAAGATCAGGGAGACTGCGTCAATTCTGAATGGTGTTTATGATAGTAACTAAAAAACGCGCTAACCAGCAAGCATGGAAGGTCACTTTGCTTCAATTTGATTGGTGTATTCGTGACCTGTTGCCACCTGCTGTTTAATTGCTTACTGGCTTTAGGCTGGATTAAGAAGTTAGTCGACATAAATTTACTCAACGGGCTTAGTCGAGTTGTGGCCTTCATCTCGCCATACTTGAGCGGTCATACTCAAACTTATGGCGAGATCTTCTAGCTCATCCACTAAAATTATCTCGCCATAGTTGGATATGAACGGGGCTAACATTTCCGTAAGAGAGGTATTACAGGTTGAGTTATTGCAGGTAATTTAATATTTACAATATGTACATAATTATTACACAGAAATCAATTAACTTAATATTGCTACTATTATTAATAACAGGTAGTCTGAGAGTGCTTCCTCCTTATTACCTCTAATGTTGATATTATTGTTTAGGTAACATATCAATAAAGCTAATTTCATTTGCTACCATTGGAAAGGCTTAATATGTTAGTGTTATATGAAGATTAAGTCTAATATTTCTTTCTGGCATGTGTCTGAAATTTTAGAAGTATATATTATTCTTGAACTCATTTACAAGATACTATAGGCTATTTATGGTATAGTATTATTAGTGGCTTTACTGGGTTTTTTTTCTTAGTAAAGAATTCATGCTAACACTATTAATACATAATAGATTGATAATCAAAACTTAATACAGTACATGGATAATTTAATCTGTCATGTATCAGTAACGGCTTTAATTACAGTTAATAACTCACAATGAAAGTAATTGACCTCCTTCTATGAATAGATAACTTGTACCTAAAATACTGCTATTAAAACAATAAAAATTGCCCATATGGTCATGACTTGCCTATATATGGTCCTGATGCGATGTCATCATGACACAAATTTAAAACTACATATTTTGAAATGAACACTGTGTATGCCCGGATAATGGAACATGTTATACTTCTTCTTCCATTCTAGTACAGACCCCAGTTGGTGTATTTTCATACTGTGGTGGTGTGCAAAGTAGGTGAAGTTTTAGATTGCAAGACTCATTTTATTTTATTTATTATTATTATCTACAGTATTTGTATTTTTTTATTATTTTATTTATTCATTTATTTAAAAAAAATTAAAACATCAATCTGTTCGCTAGACTCCTCTGGGAAAGGGCACTACTCCCATTTCACCTTATGGGGGAGTACCCATTTCACTGCTCTGTTTTAGTTTCGGAGCTGCAGGTTTTCCAGACTGCGTTTGAAAGTACTGAGTGATTCACTGTCGACAACATATTCCAGAGACGGATGCTGTCCGGGAAGAAGGATTTAAGGTAAATTTGAGTTCTTGCAAATGGTACCAGGAACTTGCAGAAATAACCACGTAGGTTTACATCTGACGGAGTCAGGCAAGTGCGGATACATTGACGAGACAATTTATATTTATACATTGTACCATGGAGGCAATGGCCGTAGCCAGGATTTTCAAACAATATGGAACAATATCAGGGTGGACCCAATTTATGTGTAAATTCAAATAATGTAGACCCATTTTATTAAAAAATGACCAATTTTATGCAAAAATATGAAAAATCTGGACCCATTTTCTTAAGATTTTACTTAATTTAGGCAAAATATGAAAAATCTGGACCCATTTTTCAAAAGTGGACTCGTTTTATGCATTGTTAAAAATCTGGACCAATTTCTTGTGGACCCATTAGAAAATTGTGTGGGACTGTCCCAACTGTCGCAATAGCTGGCCACGGCATTGCATGGAGGTATACCTCAATGATTGTACCATGCAGTACCACTCGCCGCTATTGTAGACACAATGAGATGCAGTTGACAAGATGAAAAAAACGATCGTTTTTTGTCGATTTTCATGATTAAAAAATAAATAAATTTAATAAAATTTGTATTAGTTCTTGTAGATCAGTTTAGTCTAATTTTAGTTTGATACTAGGCTAATTACAAGATATTTTGTATAGATATTCCAACTAGCAATCATTTTTTTTATTTGCTGGTTTGTGAATTTTTACCTAGCAATTATGACAAACCTACTAGCAAATTGCTAGTTTGCTAGCGTGAATTTCGAGCCCTGGAGTTGAATAGAGGAAATGATTTTATCTTTCATAAAATGTTTTTATCCATCATGATCTATTTGATGTGAAAAACTGACAGCTATTCAACACCCATGCCAACACGCCAATCAAGCTACCATAACAGATGTTTTAAAGATAGTACTGTACGAAATTATTTATTACATAATAGAATTGTAAAATATATGTTTATATCGTAATGACTAAATAATTTTCATCATTTAGAAATAAATCCGAAGTTAAAATATTCTTCAAAATTCATGTGTAAATAAGTATGAATTATGAAAATCTACATTTCAGAATCTGTGAAAGAGATTGTAATTCCACTTTCAATCAAGAACCAGTGTAATCCAGTTATAAGGAACTAGTTTAAACTGGTTTCTGTCATGCATTGCATTGAAAATTTCTTTGTTCTTGTTCATTCAAAATGCATTACTGTACATTCAGCTGTTAGTTTCAGTAGTGTGGTCAAAATGAAATGGCTATTGCTTTTAGATACAGTAAAAGCATAAAGGACAGGTGGGCAAAGTGCAGCCCGACAGTGATTTTTTTGTGGTCCTCAAAAATGAATTAAAATCCCTATATGTCCGGCCCGGCAAACATTTTTGACCTTTTACGGCCCGACATCGAACATCTGTAAAAAGTAATGTTAAAACTGAGAATAATGTGGTATAAAAGCAGTACATGAAGGTTTTTTGGGAGCACACTGTAAACATCAAAGTTTGGGTGCGGCCCTTGGTGTTAAATCAAAAAGTCACTTTGACCCTCCAATTTACGGCCATCCCAATCAAGGACGAGGCTTACTTTTTCCTTCACATAATCCGATGCTGTACAGTTATTATTCTCCCTCTGCAGATGCCATGTGGCTGTGAGATTCTGGTGGGGGATTCTTACGGTATTGTCTGCTACAAATGTAAATACTGGAATCGTAGTACTTACTTCCATAATGCATCACAGTACAAGGTCATGACCTGCTGCAACGACCCCAAAGACCACAGCAGTGGTGGCTCCAATAGAAAATTCCCACTTTCCTAATTGCCTTTCTCTGTTACTGTTATTACAAGGATGTATACTCTTCTTTATTTGAGGTTTCCATCCCAAAACCAGCATTGAATGTGGTAGTATACTATGTATAGAAAAACTAATACTTTTACTCATATCAATAGTAAGCAAATTTCAGTGAATGACCCATCATTTTAAAGCTTATAGTATGGAGAATAAGAACATTAAAAATTCAATTTTAATTTTTTGGTTACTGATCAAGGGCGGATCCAGAAATGTATGAAATGGGGGTGGGCAAATGTGGGGGTGATCGAGATAACACTACAGATAACATCTAAAGCAATTAGTAGAGCATGCATCATACACTAACGGAAAAGTATTATACTAGGTTAGAATTATTGCATTCAAAAATTTCCTTCAGCCCTGCAGGCCCTCAGGAAATTTGTTCTTGCATTAAATCTAACCTTCGTATAATAATTTGTCTATAGCGTACTGTGCGGAGCCCTACTAATTGCTTATTAGTATTTATATTATAGTGTTGATTGATAAAGCTATTAGTACATATTACCCAACATTCATCATCACATAAATTTCGACCCATTGATTTTCACTCAGCAGTTGTTTCGTAACCAATCACTCAAGTGACTTAAATGAGGATATTGACATGATCAGGTAAACCATTATCATGTGATTGTGGATAAAACACAAAAGTCCTATATAAAAGAAACCTATTATGTTTTCTTAGATTCAGCTTATTTTAACACATTTTAGTTTATTGTCTTTGTTGGCACATATCTATACCAAGGTCTTACCCACACCAAGTAGTACATAAAGTAAAGAATTCCTTTTTGTACAATACTATTAAATTGGATGACCATGTTTGTAGTCTAAAAGTAAGTACCATATGTTTTGAGTAGTTATCATCCCTGCCTGCATGTCTTTCATGATATA